CTCAGAGCTCTTTTCATGAATGAATCATTTTCAAAATATCTACAAGGACTCATGAGACATTGTGTTTGTTATTATATATATGTATGTATATATATATATATATATATACATACATATATATATATATATATATATGTATGTATATATATATATATATATATTAATGGGTATTCAGTAGAGCAGCGGCCCCTGGTGTCCACTCGAGGAACTGCAGCATCAGACACTTCATTTGAACAGAAGACACAACATCTAAGCTTTTATTTTGAAGCGCGTCAGCAGACTTTTTATTGGCGTGTGTTTGTTTCTGTGAGAGCGCCTCCTGCTGGAGCTCGCCGGGTCTGTTTACATGACCTGCTGGGACGAGCTCACCACCTTCCCGTCCACGATCTCCTCCACCACCGTGATGACCTTGGTGGTGGTTTTGCTGGTGCTGCTGGAGCTGGACGAGCTGCAGGAGAGAGAGAGACCATCAGGGCTCAATATCCTCATTTCATATTCTACACAAATCTTTCTCCACATTTTCACTCTTGAGTTTCACAAACTGTAAGCATTGGAGAGCAAACAGATGTATTTATTCTATTATTATGACAATAAGAGTAAATATGAGCAAAATAAGCAGCTCGATCAGACGACATACATTTGTTTGGAAATATAGTGTAAAAAAAATAGACTTCATCAATTTAACTTTAGTTTAGTTTCGGGTTCATTTTAGCCAGTTTTCTTAAATTATAAATGCTAATTGTTCATTTTCACTACTAAGCTCACAATTTGCATCGTCCAGTTTTTGTGAACTGTGTGAAACGTTGTTGCGATAAAACCTTAGAAGTTAAAAGAAAAACAACTCGATTCTCAGCTGAGAGTTGAAGTGAAATATGAATAAAATAATGAACCCCAAAAGATTTTGCTATCTTAAAAAATAGGTGTGATGTCATTGCACTGCATTAGATATGCAGTTGAAGGGGTTTTGTTTTAATGTCACAAATCTGTTGAATCCTGAGTTCGTTGCCTGCGGTTGTCTCACCTTCCACCGCTGCTGCTGCTCTTGACCATGCTGCTCTTGCTGCTGCTGCTGAATCCGCCGCCGCCTTCTCCGTCCAGCAGCCTTCTGTACTCGGCGATCTCCATCTCCAGTCTGGTCTTGATGTCCAGCAGCGCCTGGTACTCCTGTCCCTGCCTCTCCAGGTCGGCCCTCAGCTGCATCAGCTGCTCCTCCATGGAGGTCACCTGCATCTGGTACCCAGACAGCTTCATGGAGTAGCGGCTCTGTGTCTCGGCCAGGGTGGCCTCCAAGGACAATTTCTGCAGGAGAGAGAGAGAGAGCGGCTCGGTTAGTTTGTGCCCTCGTGGACGTAAAAGAGACGACGTGATAGAGAGAGAGTGAGAGAGAGAGACGCTCACCATGCTGAGCTGAGACTGCAGCTCAATCTCCAGGCCCTGCAGAGTCCGCTTCAGATCCGTGAGCTCTGTTTTGGACGTCTGGATGACCTCGGTGCTGATAGCGACTTCCTGGTTCAGTGCTTCTGACTGTGTAGGGAGAGAGGACACAGAGCACCGAGCGTGTCACCACCCGTCCATCCCACAATAGCTGCCGAGATGTTTCCACTTATGAGGCGGCTCAGGTCTTACCTTGGTCTGGAACCAGCCCTCCAGCTCTTTGGCGCTCTTGGCGGCGTTCGCCTCGTACTCTTCCCGGACATCCGCGATGATCTTGGAAAGGTCGACCTGAGGAGCAGCGTCTACCTCCACGTTCACCTGGCCGCTCATCTGGTCGCGCATGGACAGCAGCTCCTCCTCGTGGTTCTTCTTGAGGAAGATCAGCTCCTCCTTCAGGCCCTCGATCTGCATCTCCAGGTCGGTCCGGCTCAGGGTCAGCTCGTCCAGGACCCTCCTCAGACCGGCGATGTCGGCCTCCACCGACTGACGCATGGCCAGCTCGTTCTCGAACCTGCAGCAGGACAAAAGAAGAGGGTTTAGTTTCTGAAGTGGCTGAAAGGAAATGTGTTGAAACTTCAAAACTTTAGATTTATTGAATTTGTTCACTGACTTGAGCCTGAAGTCGTCAGTGGCCAGTTTGGCATTGTCGATGGATAGGTAGATGCCGCCGTTGATTTTGGTGGCATCCTGGATCTGGGAGATAAAAAAAGAGGAAATAAAAGAGTTATCTGTTAAAGTTCTCATGACGGGAAACTATCTAATCATGTAAATGTCTCCCTTTCACTTTGAGACTCTTGTGATTTTTACAGAAAGAAATTTAATTTGAACTCAACTTCGAGTTTTCACACAATAAGAGAAAAGGTCAGCTGTCTCGTTACACTAATTGCATGATGTCACACCCTGTGTACTTGTACTTCTGAGTACTACTAGTACTACTTTAACTGTATCACGAGATGGTTAACAGCTGATTTTGGTTTCTGAGTCAGATTAAAGTTTAGTCACAGTGTTCATGTTTAACTTCTCACTGGATGATAACGTGCAGCACTTCCTGTTGTGGGGCACATGACCCCCCCAGGTGAAGCCTACCTTTTGCTGCAGCTCTGCGATGGTGGCGTAGTAGACACTGTAGTCTCTGGAAGACGGCGACGTCTTGCTCTCCAGGAACTGCCTGATCTTCAGCTCCAGCTCCCCGTTGGCGATCTCCAGCTTGCGGACCTTGTCCAGGTAGGTGGCCAGCCGGTCGTTCAGGTTCTGCATGGTGGCCTTCTCGCTGACGGAGATGTCGATGCTGCCGCCGCCGCCGCCACCTCCAGAGCCGAAGCCAAATCCAGAACCTCCACCAGAGCTGAAGCTGTAGCTGCTGCTGCCGCCGCCGCCGCCACCGCCATAGCCGCCACCGCCATAGCCGCCACCGCCGCTGGCATACTGAGAGGAGCTGCTGGAGATCTTAACGGAGGAGCCTCCTGCTCCACCGTACATGGAGCTGCTGGACGCTCGACCTCCTCCCATTAACATGGAGCTGCCGTACATTCCACCTCCCATGGAGCTCCTGCTGCTGTTGAACATGTTGAGTGTTGATGAGGAGGATCACTACCTGCTTCAGCCAAAGAGAAGAGAGAGTGAGGAGGGAAGAGAGCTCCTTTTTTTTATACTGGCGGAGGAGGAGGAGGCGGAGGCGGAGGAGGAGACACTTGTTATTCTTTAATTCAGCTGAAAAGGTTAACAGGTGTGTTAGAGTCCTCCCATCACCTGCTGCAGGGCGAGTCCTGACACATTCATCTTTAAGCTCAACCAGCAACCTCAAATCTGTTATTAACGATTTAACGAGTTGACACGTTCTTGGCAGCAGAGAAACAGGACTCTCTCTGGTCTGAAGAGTAAAACCTGCGCTTAGTTTCAGCACAAAGACTGAGATCAATAGAACAAACACGGAGTCACCAGAGAGCCGGTTAAAGTCCTGCTGGTGTTGCTCTTCACACCACAGAGTTTATGGCAGATTATTGCATTTAAAAGTGTTTTAATGGAACAAGAACAAACTAAACTATCACCAGGTTCAAGCTTTACCGAGAGGATGCAGCTTTGGATGACTTCTTGTAACGTTACATCATTATTTAATTTTAAAAATGCCAATAATAATCATTATAATGATAAAATAATAATGGGGTGGATAAATAATATACATAAATAATAATAAAGAATAAATCAATAATAATTTGGATTATTTTGTTATAAACTGCAGAATTAGATTAAAAGGTTTCATGGAACTAAAATACATTTTGATCCTCAGCTGATGTAAACATGTGCAATAATGTGTATGTTCAACACCAGCGTTCACTTCTCTGATATAAAACAGGTCAGTAAACGCCCCTCTGGTGGATCTTAAGATGAACCCAAACAAACATATTTAACTGTGAATAATCAAAATGATGCAGAAACGACTCGATAACAATGCAGATTTGTAAAGAATGTGAGTTCACGTTTTGTCAGTTCTGTCTGTAAGACGACAAGCAAACTACTTTAAAAACGTTTGTTTTCTGGATGAAGCTCGGATCGATCAGTGCTATGCTAAGCTAACATTGGAGCTGCTCCATCAACACTCACAATAACATCATCTAGGCGTAAATACAGCAGCGTGTTATTATTTATATACATTTATATGTAGAGTTTCTTCTATATTCCGGTTCACATCAAGATTTTTATGTGGTGTTCAACCGATGAACGCTGTACATCCTGAAGGGACCGCTAATATAAACGAGCTAACGGAGCTAACGGAGGTCATGTAGCTAACGACTGCTAACAATGGAGCAGGCCGCTGCTTCTCTCCATTCTGTTCTGTTAACGATGTTCCTGAACATCTCGCCTCGTTGCTGATTAAATGCAGCGCCAGAGCTGCATTTAATCAGCTCATTTCAGAGTTTATCTGCAGATAAACTTCTCAGTTTTGCAGAAATGCACTTTGGGAGTTTTAGTCAACTTCTCCCCCAAAATATTTATGTAGACAAACTTTGACTTCTAATTCAATAGTTTGACTTCTACTATTACAAGTTATTACAAACTGGGCAGATAGATCAGTAGATCTCAGAGCGGGTGTGACCGCGTGGTATTCTGCTGCAAGCTCATTCCCACCGTGAGCAGTTCTCAGGCCGAAGGGCAACTGACAGGAATGTACAACACCCACTTCATTCAACCTGGATTTAAACAAACGGCAGTATGTTTGTTTAAGAGGCGTAGACACTTGAGTTATTCAGCTTTGAAAGGAGGAGAAGTACAGAGAAGTAAAGCACGGCTCAGTTTTCAATGAACAAATAACAACACATAATTCATTTTATAACAATGTGATGCATCTCGACACAGAAAGTAATCAGCTGCACTCAGACTTAAATCCTTACTTATTTGAAGTGTTTTAACGGTAATAACGCACCAACAGTAATATTTTACGTATATCTTATGCATGTTTATTTTATGTTCTCTGCAATATTGTCATATTTTAATATTATATAGGTGGAGGCTTCAAATAAGTCCAGTTGGCTTTCTGCCTCTTCCTGATCTATGATAATATTAATATCTGTTGTTTTGTTGTCTATTGTTTAAATTGTGCAAAATAAATAAACTAAACTAAACAGACCATTCAGTCCAGCAACACATTGAGTGTTTATAGGAAAAAAATGCCAGAAACTCAGAAGAACAAAAAAAATATGGAGGCGGACTGTCGTGGTCCGATAGTTATATCAAGAAACAAAACGTATGTATGAAGTTCTATCTGAAAAGAAAGTTTAAAGTTTCAGAGTGTACGATTGTTGTTAAAATCATTCAATAAATGAACAAACATGATCACCAGAAGCTGAAGAGTTCACCGTGCTGATGTCAAAGACGGAGATATCTGCTAATATTAGCACGCTAACCAGCTAGCCGCGGCCCCGTCCCGTCTTGTAGTACCACTTGTAACCTGGAAAGGCGCTAGAGAGTCAATGTAGCGTCCACTCTGACCTCAGACCACCATGAGAGGACCAGGAAGTAGAGCTGAGGGCTCGTCAATAAAACATCTGTAAGTTTTGATAGTTTTTGTTTATTGGATTAAATACAAAGTGGGTCTCTGGTAGAGACCTGTCAATCAC